TGCCCAATTAGCTGCTGCACAAATACCAGCTACAGTCACCCCTTTAAAAAGAGCCCATGAGGTTGCTATCCCCCTGGTGGAATGAGCTCTAGTTGGATTAGCGAAGCAGACAGCTGGTCCCACATAAGCCACATTCTGAGTGCGCTCAATGTAGGTGCGAAGCACACGCACTGGACAAAGAGAATGCATCCTCCTCTCCTCCTGCAAAAGGAGGGGAGCAAAAGGTCAGCAACTCAAACTCCATTGAGCTATAAGATGCAGGCATGATCTTGGGAAAATAGGCAGCATTTGGGCGCAATACGACCTTGTGGCCATCAGGAGAGAACTCTGTGCAGGAGGGATGCACAGACAGCGCATGAAGGTCACCCACTCGTTTTGCTGAAGCCAAAGCGCGAAGTAATGCAGTCTTATATGAGATCATTTACATATCCACAGACTCAATGGGTTCAAACGGGGGGCTACAAAGGGCCTCCAGCACCAAAGACAAGTCCCAAGCAGGGACACTGGACTCAAGCGCAGGTCTCAGCTGGCAAACCCCTTTCAGAAAACGTATGGCAAGGGGATGTGTACCTGGTGTCCTGGTGACCTGGTGTTTTGACCCGTCAAAGCCAATATGACAAGCAGATATAGCTGCTAAATAAACCTTAATTGTCAAAAATGAAAGGCCCTTATCCAGCAGCTCCTGCAGGAATGTCAAAACATCAACAATAGAGCACTGAAATGGGAGAGTGTGGCAGTCCTTGCACCATTGTTTGAAGGCTCGCCATTTGTAAGCGTACAAGCCTCTAGTAGATGAGACCCTAGCGCTCTGTATTGTCGCTATCACACTAGGTGGCAAGCCCTTAGCAATCAAGTTTAACCTCTCAGCAGGTAAGCATGAAGGCGCCACAGATCCGGGCGCGGATGAACCCCTTCTCCTCCTGGCTGAGAGAGGAGGTCCCTGTGGAGAGGAAGCTTCCAAGGACTCGCTGGCTGATTATCTCTGCATACCATGACCTTTTGGGCCACTAAGGGGCCACTAGAATCAGAGAGAGAGACTGCCACTGGGCAAAATGCATACAGGAGCACGTCTGGCCATTGGTGCGCTCGGCATCCATGCCCAAGGGCGCATTGTGGTCGATTATGGAGAAGAACAGGGGGCAGTGAGTATTTACCCTTGAGGCAAAAAGAACTACTTGCACCTTGCCAAATAGATCCCAAATCTGAGCCACTATTAAAGGATGTAACCTCCATTCTCTCACTAGAGGACCACCCTGGAGTGAAGGTCCGGCAGCTCGTGCTGGGCTGCGGACCGGATCCCTCTCACTGATCCACCCTCGCATAGCACTCCCCACCCTCTTAGGGAGGCATCTGTGGACACCAC